CCCCGTGCCCCGTCCGCCGCCGCTCCTGCTTCCGGCTATGTCCCTGCATACTCTCTTTCATGCCGCCCCCGCGCCGCAGCCGGCTCGGCCGCGCCTCGCCGGCGGTCGCCGGGTGCGCTCCAAGGCCGCTGCGCGGCCGCAGGCGCCACGCGTCGGCGGCCCCGCCGCGGCTGCCCAGCCGTGCCCCGCCGCTTCTTGGCTGTACAAATGATGCGGACTTGTGTATCAGCGACCAACAGTGCCTTATCTCGACACATCAAACTGCATGGCCCACAGACCAAACCACAACAGACTGGATTGCGGGCGGCCCCGGCGCGGGCGATCTTCCCAATGACCCTGCCATTATCGCGCCGCCGAGCCGCCGCACTCTTGAAGCGCACTAGCACGGGCGCGTGTCTGACGGCCCCTGCATTGCGTCCCGTTGCCCCCCCCCCTGCGGGCCGCCTGGCGACCGATTGGTCATGGCGCGAAGGCTCAAGGGCGTTTGGGGGCGCCGCCGCGCATGCCCTTGTTGTGAGACACCAACGAGCGCTGGCGCCGCGCCTGGCCTTCCAACCATCCGCGTCTGGGCCCCCCGCGACGCTTCTTTGGCGCAGCGGGCGCCAGGGGAGGCGCCCTCACTCAGTGCTGCTGCGACAAAACGACCCGCCCTCAAAACAGGAGCAAACCCCATCGTGCTCCCTGCTCTCTAGCGCTGATTGCCCAGCCCAGGGCTGCTGGCTGCATTCTCGGGCCTTTGTAGCCTGGGCGGCACGCCACATCCGAGCAGTGTCGTATCAAATTCGCCGCTGGACGCCGCGACATTGAGCTGGGCGTTGGGGGGTCGACGGTTGGCAGCTGGCGCAGCAGCGACGCGGGCGGCGGGCAACCTGCTCATGAGTGGCGCCATCCCTCGTGCGGCGCTCGCCCCCTGTCTCGTTTTTCTCGGTGCCCGAATGCCCTCCAGGGGGCGCAAGACGCTGCGCAGCGCTGCATTGGTGGGCGGCGGGGCGGGGCCCCGCTCGCCCCGGCTATTCTTGCCGGTCCCTCGTCTTCTTTGTTTTCTGACACACGCCTGCTGAGCGCGCTCGGCGCCCCAGCTGCGGCCTGCATCCATCGATCCCCGCGCTGCCGATGGCACGCCAGCGCGGCAGTGCCGCGCATCTGACGACCAGGGGTGCGCAGGGGCGCCATGGGCCCTTGGGGGGCTCGCGTCTACAGCAGCGCCCCCCCGACTTGCTGCCCCGCGTGACGCGGCGCCCCTTGCCCCACCCCCTGCCGGCCGTGCCGGGAACGCCACTGCAAAGCGGCGCCCTGGGCGCTGCGGCGCCGCACGACCCTTGAGCCAAGTACTCCGCGGCGCCCGCCGGCCCAAATTTGGGGGCCCGGGCGCCGCTTGATGCACATGCGTAGCCGAGGCGTGGGCCTCCCCGTCGTCGCAGCACGCCCCGTGTGCCAGGCGTTGACGCCGCGCCACGCTCCCCATTGCCGCATCGTCCGTGTAATCCAACCCGTCATGGCCAAAGGTGTGATTGCAGTGCCCATAGGTTTGGCAGGTGCGAAGCCGCCGTGCTCCGGGGCGCGGTAGGGCAGGTTCCGTTGTGTTGCGTGGTCACAGCTGGGAGCATGGGGAGGCGTGGCAAGCAACGCACCTGCCTTGGGGCTGCGCCTGATTCACACCAACCTTGCGCCTCGTGCTCCCTGCCAGTCAACATACATGTAGATGGATGCATTCACCCTCGCCAGTCACGCGGCCTCATCGCCATGTTGAGAGTGCTGGGTGCCAGTCAATCGTTTCGGGAGAGTCAACGCTTTGCCCACCCTCCTTGGCAGTGAGGTGTGGTGACGCACTGTATTGCAGGGCTGGAGCGCAAGGAAGGACCCACCGTCTAACATAAATATCAGAAAACCACGGACGTGTGCATCATCACAACCTGTACGCATCTGAGCGAGCAACCCTACGTACCTGGCCTCAGTACCTTCAGGTGACAATTCCATGTGATCTCAGATTCTGGCCCATACAGTCACAACACCGTACCGTCACATAGCAGTTCGCACATACCGTATAGATGAAATCAAATCCTCGCTTTTGCACGTTGTTGAGGCAGCCTTCCAGTTGTGCGCGTGCCTGACTGCCAGCTCTCCGATCGATCCCATTTGGTGGTACTGTTAAGTTCCACCAAGGATCCACATCGCCTGCATATCTCGTGCTGGCGGTGACAGCACACGGCCACGCCGCCACGCTTGTGCAGCGCGCCACCCAGTCGCATCGCCAGGTCTGGGCTGCCCCCTCCCCCTCGCGGCCCGGCGCGCCGCTTCGCTGCACAGGCACGCGCCACTTGAGCAGCACCTAGCGAGACTCCGCGCGGCCGGCACCTCCCGCCGCCGCAATGACGCGCAAGCAGCGCGGCGAGACGTACGACGTGTCAAGCGCACGCGGCCGCGCCGCCTTTGAGGCGCTCCTTAATCAGGACGACGAAGCCGATGCGCGCGCCGGCGCGGGGCGCGGCTCCAGGAAGGCGGCCGCCGCCGCCGCCGCCGCTGCTGCGGAGCAGCCCAAGGGGAAGCGCGGAAAGGAGCGCTTTTTCCGCTTGCGCGACGACGCCGCGGCGGCGGGCAGCGGCGCCGCATCGGGGTCCGGGCACGCCCGCGAGCAGCAGCAGCAGCAGCAGCAGCAGCAGCAGCAGCAGCAGCAGCAGCAGCAGCAGCAGCAGCGCGAGCGCGACCTGGCGGCGCTGCGGGAGGTCGTGGGCGGCGCGCTGCCCGAGGCACTGATCGCCGACGTCTACGACGGCTGCGGCAGGGCGCTGCAGGCCGCGCTGGACGCGCTATTGGCCATGGCAGGCGGCGGGCAGGCAGGCGACTCCGCCGGCGCCGGGCCGTCGAGCGGCGGCGCGGCCGCGGCGCAGGAGCGGCGCGACGCGCCGCCCGACGGCGCCGCGGCGTGGGCGTCGCTGCCCCCGGACGTCACTTTTGCGGTGCTGTCGCGCCTGAGCCCGTCCGACCTGGCGCGCGCCGCGACCGCGTGCCGGGAGCTGCGCAACAGCGCGCGCCGCCTGCAGGCCGTCGCGCGCGTGCTGCGGGTCCCGCCGGGCCTGTCGTACCCCGCACTCGCCGCGATGGTCCGCGCGCACCCCCGCGCGCCGCGCGTCGACGTGTCTCGCGCGGCCGCGCGACGCGGGCACTGGGCGGCCGCGGCGGCCGCGGCGCCGGGCGCAGAGGGCGCGGCGGCGCGGCGC